TCGCCTGATGACTGAATTGGAAGGAGTTCTGACTATTTGGTAATATCATGCATCGCGAGCGCTGATTTCATCCAACGATGGGGATGAAATGAGACTTACATGACGTGCGAGGTTTCCCCTTTTCAGCAATCTGCTCCTTCTTTTTTCGATTTGGGGCAGTTTCTGCACAGTGCACCAATATCTCAGTGGACTTTAGCACATGAAAACTAAAACATCGATTTGTAATTTGATTGGTAATTCATCATCCAATGCTCTCGTCTTCTCGCTTGGGGTGACACCTTCGGTACATACATAGAGTGGAGGCTTGACTACACATTTTTCCCATTGCGGTAATCTGCTCTTTCTCATTTCTGCCTAGGGTGGTGTTGTAAAATCCGTAGTGGTAGGGAATGGATGGCTGGAAGTGGACTTGTAAGCTGATCGAGGCTCGTTCAACATTGCTGGCCTTTGTCGGAGGAACCCAAGTGGTACCGCAGTTGTCTCAAGTATAAATTCCTTGTTGTCCAGCACGAAAGTTGAGAGACCATAGAAACCATCATTCCATATTCTCATCGACACAATACTCAATACTTTCAACAAATATTACAATGGCCGATTCCGTTACTGTCCCTCCTGGGTCCTGGATTCTTGTGACAGGTGCCAACGGGTTCGTAGCTTCCCACACTGTCAAGCAGTTTCTCGAGCGCGGATACAGGGTTCGAGGGACAGTCAGAGATCTAGAAAAATCCTCATGGCTCGTTCAGGGCATTTTCAAGTCGTATGCCGATAAAGGTGACCTTGAGCTTGTCGAAGTCAAGGATCTTGCGACTGAGAATGCTTTCGATAGCGCTATCAAAGGAGTATCTGCAGTTGCTCACATTGCCACGATCCTACCCCCTGATAGCGATCCCAACCACTCGATCCCGTTGGTTGTTTCGGGTGTGACATCGATTCTGGAATCTGCGATCAAGGAGCCATCTGTCAAGTCGTTCGTGTACACATCGTCCGTGGTGGCTCAATCTTTTTGCTCCCCTGGTGACCATACGAGACTTGACCAGAACAAATGGAACGACAAGGCAATCGAACTGGCTTGGGCTCCGCCGCCTTACACTCCTGAAAGGGGGTTTATCGTCTACATGGCAAGCAAAGCAGCTGCCGAAAAGGCCCTGTGGAAGTTTGTCGATGAAAGAAAGCCACACTTCAAAGTCAATGCCGTACTTCCCTTCACCATAATTGGTGAACCTCTGAACCAGAAACACGCCGAAACGCCCTATTACTTTGTCAAGGATGTTTATGAGGGTAATCCTGGACCTCTAATGCACCCGGCGAGTAAGTCTTCCTCATCCAGTAGAATCTGGTAGACACATTTAACTGACTCTGTAACGCAGTTGTTCATAATGATGTGAAAGACTGTGCTCTTCTCCACGTCGCATCAGTGCTGGACCCCGAAGTTAAGAACGCTCGTCTGCCTGCATGGGGGGAGTACTGCAACTGGAACGATATGCTAGATATCATGCGCAGACTCTTCCCGGAGCGCAAGTTTATGGACGATCTTCCTGGCTTGTCGAAGGTGGACGTCACAACAGACTACACCCAGGCCTTTGCACTTTTGGAGAAATGGGCTGGCCAGAACGGTTGGAAAACATTGGAGGAGACTATTGTCGACAGCCTGCCTAACATCCAGAAATGGTATTCCTAGGATATCCGCTCCCTGGTCTTTCGATTGGATATGACCTCAATATGTGCTGTCTCAATTGTTGATGTGATGGAAATAGTGGTCAGATGGCGCGTGATGGCTGATATCTTTGACACCATCTCGCGGATGAGACAATTTCCATAGATTTATATAGCTCGAGAATGGGAACTGTTATATACACACACTACTGTCGAAAATTGTTAGTGTATCAAATTCTAGGCACTCCGAAAGGAAATTATCTTTCAACATCCTCGATGATTTGCATGGTGCCTCTTAGTTTTGAGCAAGTACGAAAGACAGATGTCTCAGAAAATAATTTGTAAAATGATGTATGCCTAGAAATTACAGACTGATTGATAGATGTCTCGTGCTCACAACTCTTCTCGCCATCCTCCAAGCCAACACTACTCCATCTCATCAGGGTACACTGCTGAAATATCCGGCGATAACCCACCCATGAAAATTCCCAATGAGTCCCAGCTGCAATGAATATATCTCAATGCCGAATAGCTGGCTAATACCTCCCCAAGCAATACTTGCGACGCATCCACATAAAACTCGAACCTCACTATCAATAACTTATTTGGCTTGCCATCCACAACCGTCGTCATCCCTTCCGACTTGTCTAAAACGGCCACCAGACGACTATAGGCGTCAAGGAGAACTGGACGTCGGCTAGGACTCTTCATATTCCCAGTCTGAACTTGTCGTACGACCCATATTAGAGGGCCAAAACTGCTATGCCACAAGAGGAATGCAGGGCGTTTAGTTGGTGCATGGCTGATTCCTGATCGACGAGATGAATAAGTAGGCGTTTTGCTCTCGAAATTCCCATCATATTGTGGGGTGTGAAGCACGAAATCAGCATTGTTGGTGAATAATTGAACAGTGGCGATGACTTTTTTGGTGGTCGTATCTGAGACGCAAATATGTGGTTTTGAACGAGCAGGGTCCCAGAAAGACCCTTGGCGAAGGCTAGGTCCCAGCTGAGTCTCATCTACTGAGCTTACCATGCGTTCATTTGCAGAGTATTCTTCAGTAATAACACGACCATCGCCTGACATACCCGGTCGAGTAATGTTGAACAGTTCGGCAGTACGCTCCTTGTTTAGCACAACCGTTGGAAACTTGGACCAAGAGCTATGTTGCACTTCCAACGTTGTGACCGGATAAGTGCTAGTATAGCGAGAAATAAAGTCTCTAATTGAGGCATCGCTGACAAGTGATGGTGGTGGCCCAGCGGGAGAGAGAGCAAAGAAAGTCCCAGCACTCTTGTCACCCGAGGTCTCAGTTGGTACAAGACAATCTTTGTCTACTTGCACAAGAGATTCGCCTTGCCATGCTAGAATTGCGAGGCGTATACCGCAGTGGGAGCAAAAGTGCTCCAGAAAATAGTACGTTGGTGCCACGAGGAAATCACATCGGCATACAAGGATGCCGAGGAGGCTCAAACAACTGAAGCCGTGAGCTCTGAGTATTAACGCAATTAGAATTTTATATCTTTTGGTCTAGAAGTGCGAGACTATTCTCAATGCATTGCTACTCACGCAGCTTGGGATATCATCTCCATCGGTCGGACAGTGTTTCCCGTTTTCTGGCACGCAGGACATTTGACAAATGCAGGCTCTGTTCCGAGCCGAGCTAGGCTCACCGGTTGGGACGCCATTTCTGAGAATTCTCTAGTGGTTAATTGATGATGTATGTCAGTTGGTGTCTTCCTTGATGTTTAGGGGAAGAGGGGATAATGTAGGAGGAAAGTAGCTCAGGATATACAATCATTGACGATGGGCTGAAGTTTAGTTTATTATTATGCATAAAGCTTTTGGTCCTGCACTTGACCATGTTTGGATGGGCGCGGAACGAATGTCTTCTGACATTAGAGAAAGGGACCTCTTGGCACTGTTGAGGCTGAGCCCACGTTCTGCTGACTGCAAAGCTCGTTGGCTGCCATTCGGAACCGCCAAGACCAGCTGAACTGCGAGGAGTCTTGGCAGTATCCCTTGTCTACAGAAGGCTTGTGTTCTTTGCGTCCACGGCCATAGATGTAATTTGTCGCCCTGTCATATGATTGAATTTCGCTTATTCATACTTCGAGGTACTGTCAATACAACGTGTATGCGATTGACATTGGCACACTATTCGCTATGATAGAGAAGGGCACTGCCCCGAAGAGAGAATGACATGTGAAAAATCTTTTTGGATGAGATATGTGAGACATAACGAAAACTTCTACATTTGATTATAAAACACGGGGTTGTCCATATGTTTGCTAATGACAAAATTTGCTTTTACTTAGAGTAGCATCTGGCGTGCTTATTTATCAAAGTACACAAATGTAACATCACAAAAGACTTAAGAGGGGTACAAATTCAATTTGGATATGCTAATTACTCACTAATTGCCCACTCAGTCACTATTGAATAGATCGTTGTATTGATTTCGGTCTATGTTAGAGATTATCTTTAAAGGAACTATCAAATTACTGGTGTTTGGGAATTCCCCCCCCTTTTTTTTTCAGCAGCTGTACAGCTCCCTCACTTACTACTATCTTTAAAGGAACAGAAAGACGTCCTCAATCGGAAATGGTCGAATGGGACTAGGAAATTATCTTAGAGGACAAGTTACTTAGGTAATGGAATTATTAAGAGATGAATAAGAGAATGGATATTGATGGAATAATCATTCCTAGGTGTCCCTAGATCGCGTGCCAGAATCTCTGTTGCCTGCAACTATCATATCAATATCTGCGCTAATTTACACCTCTATACCCATTACAGAATCCTTCCGCCGGCCATTTACTGTTTACAAAATAATCTGAGTTTCCTGGGAAATTGCAATAGTCCGAGGTCTGAACACATCAAATAGCGCATTCTATTGGCCCAAGTACGGAGTGACCAATCAATATCTTACGGCCGAAGGTTGGGTGAAACATCGCCCCTCCCCTGATGAACACATTCACAAGGCCTCTGAGTGCGAAGTAACCAATGCTCACGGTGACCCGTGGAGTAAACACAAGACTATATAGCCTAAAGGACCAATAGAATCCCTTCATAGCAGGTCATCGTTTCAAGCATGTTAATTCTTTGACTGGGGTGCCCCTCCCTTCAAGTAGCTAACTACGACGAAGGATGCTTCCAATGCCGGAAGCCACAGGCACAGTAAACACCAGTTGAAGAACGGCTTAGAAATCAAACTGAAAGTCTGACTTGACTCTTTGTACCAGATGGAGTATAAAACCTTGACGGTCACATTGCTTTGGTCATCCAACAGCACCCATATCGCATTGTAGTTGTTCCCATTCTGGACTGAGCAGCATCCCCTCATCATGGAAAATCCATCACTTTCTTCCTCACATCATTTGGTTGTTACTGGTGCTGATAAAAAGACACCAGAACAGCCCCTTTACCCCGATGTTGCAGACATCAGCCATGCTACGCCTGCTCTTGTTGAGTTCCTTCGCCACTACTTCCAGGCCAAAAGCAGCCATGATGCAGACACATGGGTTAAAGATTTTGATACCTCCAAGCTTTTCTACATCGACACAGTCCTCGGCCTGCATCTCAACCAAGAGAACTTTGAAGTCACGACAAGATCAATAATGGCGTCATGGGATGCGGATGCCAAGTCTTATCCACTCCGCATCATTGGTGATGAACATAGCGCGGTGATGTTCTTCGAGGACACGCCGACAATGTTCGGAAGTGAGCTCCGTGGAATCTCTGCCCTCGACATGGAGAATGGCAAGGTTATTCGCCAGGTCGACTACTGGGACGGACGCCGAGCTCCCCTGGCGAGTACCAGACTCCCACTAGACCAGTACCCCTCGGACTTTAAGGAGTCGATTGTGCAGAGGGCTCGTGACCCTGTGATCCAGGATATTGCCAATCAGCTTCATGCGGCCCTTTCGACAGGCAATAGTAGCGCTGCCGCGCAGCTGTTCGACGTCGACGCTGTTTGGGAAGACCGAACCACTCGCGTCATACTCGACGGTCGATTGGCCATTGAACGCTATCTTGCTCGTGCATCGTCTAGCTTGCCATATGGTGCTGGCGCGACCATTCGACATGTCGTAGGAAGCGCCCAAGGTGGAGGTTACGAATGGATCGGCGGACCGGGTGCTGCTACTCGCCATGGCATTGACCGCTCTCAAGCTCAACGAAGATCGCTTGATCACGCTCGTCAGCGCTCTTTGGGATGCATCGTACGCCAGTGACGATACAATGACTGCGCTTATTGGACTGACCCTTGAGCCATAGTTGGACTACCACTGTCAGAGACCTTATCCACACGAGATCAAGAATGGCCGGTTGTTTTTATGAGCAGTGCCTTCATAGAGGAGCAACGAACAGGGGAATATGGACAGGAAGCCCAAGTTGCCGGTGACCGTGATTCCGTGCACATCTCTAGGCATATTGAAGTTTTAGTTGATACTTGGTATCTCCTCTTTTTGAATTATTCTAAGACTAGTAAAAACCGTACTGTTATCTGTTGGTACGTTTTGCTTCTTCAACAATTCGCCCCTGTTTCTGATATCAAAAGTGTCCATTTCCATGGCAATCAAATGCCCAATCAGCTCCAAACATCCTCGTGCCAGCTTGCTGTCTTTCTCTTATTCTGCCTCCACTTATCTGCAGCTTCTTTAGACCAGGAGTTGCGTTGCATGACGACATCTAATATTACATCTCCGACTGCTTTGGCCATTGTTGTGGCTCCGCAGATGTAAATCGCCCCATCAGTATCCACCAGGTGCTGAACAACCTCGTTGGAATGTACAAGCACCTGGTCCTGCACGTAGGTCTTCTTTTGAATATTTCTATCACCTGCTCTCGGGCGGGAGAACGCGGTAATAAACTTCAATGGTAGAGCTCTGTCCCCGTCCGTAGTTGCCAGAGTGGAGAACTCGTCATGATATAGAGAATCAGAACGATTCTGACTGCCCGAGAAGAGAATCATGGGCCCGACCTTGTGGCCAATAGAGGCTAAACGGGCTCGCTCTTGTACAAAAGCACGAAATGGTGCGATACCTGTACCGGCAGCCACCATTATGACTGGGTTGCTTAGATTGATGGGAAGCTTGAAAGAGGACCTGCGGATTTCGGCACGAACCAAAGAGGCATCGTTAGAAATGGTGGGAAGATCCATTATAGAGAGGTATGTGCTTGTGACGCCGCAAATAAGGGCCGCTGGGTTCTTGAGAACTGGAGTGGGCTTGACAGACACAACAACGCCGACTCGACGAGGGTCCACGGTGCTAGAGGTTGCGATGGAATAAAGACGAGGCTGCATGGGCGGGATGAAGTCAATGATGAATGCAAGTGGGAGTTGTGTCCAAGAGTTGCTCGAGTCATGGCTATTCATAAGCTCAAGCAGTCTCCCTAAGTTGAGGTGATGATGGTCGAGGAACGCTGCGTAGATTTCCCTATCCCGACCAATATTTTCAAGCTCAGTTCTCACAATGGCACTGGATGTCAGTCGAGCCAAGGTAAGAATTGTCTCTCTGGGAACTGGCGCACAGATGTCGAGGTGCTGAGACACAAGCGCTTGGATAGTTGTCAACGACGGAACCTTTAGTTCATCCATGTCATCTTTGACTGTGATACGCAGACCCTCCATCTTCTGGGATTCCAGCCCAAGAACACCAATCAAGCGATCAACTTCGTCAAAGGGATTTGAAGGCCAAATGGCAATGTGGTCTCCGGTTCGGTATTTGATCTGGCTGTGGCTGGAAAGGTCTAGCTTGAGATCTATGCATGAGCGATCCTGTCCGTCATAGGTGGCGACGATGTCCCTGGAGACAATGGGAATTTCTATCGTATGCTGCTTTCTGGGCAGTGATTTGTTATCCAGAAGTCCGGAGTTGGCGGATGCGAGTTCTTCCTTTATAATGTTCACGGTAGGCTGATATTCGGCTTTGTGATCTGCCATGCCGTACTCCGACACTAGGTAAGAAAAGAAGCCCTCCTTCCATTCTAGAAAGTCCTCCTGGGTCGATCGACTGGCTTCGTCGCCCTTTCCCGTGGGAACGAGACATTTGGCACCACATCGATCCATGGATGATGCTATATCATCGATGGCTTTGTTAAAGTACCGGTAGTTGCTGTTTCCGCAACCAAAGGCAGCATAACGCAAGTGTGAGAGTGGTGAACTGCGAAGCGTTGTGACATGAGACACAAAATCTATCGCATTGTGACTTGGATCACCTTCTCCGTAGGTAGACACAATAAACACAACAATGACAGATTCTGCAACGTCTGCGATTGTAGCAGGGTCATAGTCGGCCAAGTCGCAGACGACAGTGACAGTCTTTAGCCTCTGCTGTGCATCCCGAGCGAGACGATGAGCGAGGCTCTCTGCGGTCCCGGACTGAGACCCCCAGAGGATGATGATCTTGGCATCACTTTCGCGACTCTTTTCGTCAATGTTCCTGGTCGCAGCGGTGGCAGAGGACCTTGCCCCGTTCACTGCTTGAGGTTGCTGAAAGAATAAATGCTTGTGAGGATCTGATCTGGGCAACACACTTCCTCTATTGTAGACATAAGAGGAGCTGAGAATAACTGCTAGAAGCAGAGCATACTCTCCATAGTGGGCATCCAACAAGCTCTGCTTGAGGTCACTGACCAGTCGGTAATCGAGTGTCTTGATTAAATCCATGGTGAAGTGTATTGCAAAAAGTGCGAGGGTAAAGCATAGAACGATGGGATATGGGAGGCTCCAAATACAATTTTATCCTGCCATATTTTGCGCAGATGTTTGATGAGAGCGTTCACCATATAGGTGATAAGAACGAGATTCCTCCATGACCAGATACTGTTCCCCGAGACTTGTTTCCCGATCGAACTCCGGTTTATCTGAATTAGTCCCCATGGGGCAAATGTTGGCCGATCTTGTGAGCTGGGGCAACAATCTTATTCCGCAGAACTCGCTAGTGAATCTTCGCGGAATTCAATTCCCCATTATGGTAAAATATCCCGCCGATGACGGCAGGGACACTAGCCAAATCGGAAATCTGAATGTATCTCGTGAGTTGGAGTTGAAAGGCAGCGAGCGGGCAAGGGGGAATCCTATAATAGCACCCAGAAGCAACTTGGTTTGACTTGAACAGAAGTCATCGAGAAACGTATTGGTCTGCTTCCTTCATTCTGCCCCGCGAGCGACTCTCTTCTGAGAAGTGCCTTATCATGTATACTTTCGTCTTGCCATATGCTGCGCTGGCAGTTGTTCTTTTCGCCACGTTCGCGCGCATTGTTATTTATCCCATCGTCAAATACTTCCTCGATGCAAAGGGACTTCGAAAATATCCAAACTATTCGTGGCTCTCTCCATTCACCGACTTTGCCCATTGTCATTTGAGTTCGACGGGAGCTCGCTCTGTCAACCTCTTTCTTGAACATGAGCGCAGAAATGAGCCTGTTCTAAGGATTGGTCCCAATGCTATCGCTTTCAACCACCCAGATGCCATCAAAGACATCTACGGCCATCGCACCAAGTGCACAAAGGATAGGAAGGAGAGCATTCTTGCTGGTACACATCGAAACCTCTTTGATGTGGTTGACAAAGCTGAACACGGCAGAAAGCGGAAGCTACTATCTGCGGCGTTTGCTATCAAAAACCTCGAGAAGTGGGAGTTTAAGGTGCACTACACGGCGAAGCGTCTTGTCAAAGCGTTTGACGAGCGCTGCACTTCGCCCTTGAAACCTGGTCAAAACCCCGAGCCAGAAGATCTCACCGTTGATTTTAACCACTGGATTAATCTATGGACGATAGAAGCGATCAACTATATTGCTTTGTCCTCAAAGCTGACTTTCCTTGATACTGGTACCGACGAGTGGACTGCTGAGAGGCCTGATGGTACCCAGTACAAAGCTCGGTATCGATTCGCGCAAAATAACGCCGCCATTGTCAAATCAGTTTGGTGCTGGGATTATGATCTCTGGCCCTGGACTGCTTGGCTCACCAAGGTCATCCCGAGCAAGTGGAACCAACACTGGAAGAATAGCTCTGCCTGGGGAGATGTTTGCTACCACCAGGCCAGCGAGAGGCTTCGACGTTATAAAGCTGGAGAGGAGCTGGATGATTTCTTCACATGTCTCATGGAGGACAAAGGCGGTGCGCCGAACTTCCTCGAATGGGGAGAAATTGTTGCTGAAACGTCTGCCATCATTGACGCAGGCGCGGAGACTACAGCCATTGCTCTCACCAATATCCTTGAGCTTTTGATCCGCCATCCCCAGCACCTAGCTACGCTCAGAGAGGAGCTTGCATCTGTCTTTGATGATGACGAAGTTGTCGCTTCCTACGATAAGGTGAAAGATCTTCCCTTCCTCAGAGCGTGTCTCGATGAAGGACTCCGTATCACCCCTCCCACTTCTTCAGGGCTTCCTCGAAGAACCCCTCCTGAAGGCACGTCTATCATGGGCCAGTGGATCCCAGGTGATACCAGTGTCTCCATGACGATATACGGGGCCCATCATGATGCCAGGATCTACCCTGAGCCAAACGTATTCAATCCTCATCGGTGGATGGATGTTGAGGAGCGAAAGAGAATGGAGCCTTACTTCATGCCTTTCTCTGCAGGCGCCCGCGGTTGTATTGGCCGAAACATCTCATACCTGGAACAGATTGTTATTCTCGCAACTGTTGTCCACCGGTATGACTTTGCTCTGCCCAATGCAGCATTTAAAGGTTGGAGATTTGAGGCTTTCAATTTAATTTGTGGCCCTTTGCCCATAAAGATCTGGAAGAGAGACCAGACTAGACCAGCTATTAGCAGTGAGGCTGGTATGTAATGACCAATCATATACTAAAAAGACAGAAACAAGAGAGAGAGGGGTAGTAGCTGGCAAGTGAAGGAGAGAGTAGTATGCGCATTGCCTGAAATTGGGGCATGTAACGACAAGGGTGGTAAGGCTGGAAATGATCATCGAGAGTATCATTTTATATCATAGTCCACGAATAGAAATTGTCTACATTTTTGTCCGAGTGTAGTATCTTTGTTGCAAGATTATGACTTTGCTGCTATAGAACACAATAGATTGCGTTTTGTACCATGGGTTCGTCCGAACAGCCCACCTCCGATCATGATGGATACGATGAGAAGCCGGCAAAAGCAGCTGACCAAACACTCTTCAGCCATGTTACGCTGCTGATTTCAAAAATTTCATGCAACAGAGCCTTCTAGCCAGCTAGGCTAACTTAATCTAACTTAGACATAAGCAACATTTGCTTGAGATAGGGAGAAGGGCTTTAGTTTCTTTTTTAAATTGATTATATTTGCTTTGATTTAAATCTGATCAATTTCCCAATCCATCAAGCTCGGCCCATTCCTTTTGGAGCGTTTGGATTAATTTATAACTCTCCCGGGGCACACGGTCTGCCATGTCACTCAAGAATTGAACACAGTGGTCTCTCTCAATAGGATCACGTATTAAATGCCCACCTTCATGGTGTAAGCCAAATATTTCGCAAAAGCAGAAAGAGAAATGCTTACAGAGAAAGAGAACGTAGCTTGGCATGTAATATGCACCGGGGAAATACTCGTTTCCTCGCGCAAGCCCGATCGACCGTCGAAGATAGTATAGAATAGATTCCTTCTCCAGTCAGTTCATCCATTCGTGGTGCAAATATGCAGGTTCAATGGGAGATGGGCGCGGATCACCATACCTCGTTTGATTTTCGAGCCTTCATGGCGTCAAATCCGAAGGCCTGGCCTCCGCCCGAGTTGCAGCGATATAGACATATTATCGCTCTCGATGCATAGTAGTACTCGAGGGCCATGACTGATTCTGGGTTAGATATTTTTGGTAGACGCGTAGTGGAGTGGGATAAGTAACATTACCTTGAAGACTCGAGAGCATCCAGATTGATGGGAAAGTCCGGCCAGCTGTCATGTTTATCGGTGTCTCGTAGAGGACTTGGAATGATCGCGGGATCCCCCTGTACCAGTCATCCAATTCCTTTTCTAGCTGAGTCCAAACCTGAGAGATATCGGAAGATCCGGAGAAGAATTCGCGAAGTACTCTTGCTAGCAGATAGACTGCGCGGTTAACGTGAGATCTATCGCTATTTCCATCGTAAGACTGGAACGTCTTGAAAATTTCCAGATACAGATCTGGCTTTTGTTTATGAACCATTGATATGTAGATGACCTGGTGCAAGTGAAGCCAGCAAACAGCTTCGGCGAGACCACCATTCTGTGCAGATTTTGTAATGGCATTGAAGCCCAGTAGATTCCGTGTGCCCTTCAAATGATAGAATTGGGTGTCTTTTCCGACATCGAACTCTTCGTATAGCCTCGAGAGCACGACGGCAGTGAGGAGCGGTACCCCGTATGTCTCCGGAGGTTTAGACAGGGCGTCAATCAATAGTTCAAGACATTGATTGTGGTATTGGGTGCTTTCGACATCGCTTTGGGTTTTGGTCTGGATCTCATCAAATCGGCTGGCGAGGGCGAAAATGCCGTACAACACAATTGGCTCCTCTAACGCCAGCTTGGGCACCGTGGTTGCAAAATGTCGCTCTTCATCGCATGAATCAGGCTACATATCGGTGTTAGCATAAGTATTAGCGCGCAAGGCTACATGCATCAATATTTTCCATGGGAACATACAGATAATGAAACTTGATGGATATACACGCCCATCAAATATGCCTCCCTCTCCGTGAAGCTCAACGGCGTAGAGGATGGAGCAGGGACTCCAAGAGAGACCGGAGAGGTAGAGGGCGAAGAGTGAGTGAAGTCTATGGTAGCCTGGTTCGGATAATCACTCTGCGTAGTGACGTGGAATATGGCCTGTGGACTGGGAGTTTGGGGATCATGCAACGATGGTGGGTCAGCCATCGGCGACGGCCAGGGATGGTGAGCAAGGTCATCATAGCTGACCCGTCTTTGTCTATTGGAGGCGGACTTGTTTGTGTTATTTCGCTCAGTTCCAATATTCGGAGACTGATGGGGTAACGTGTCCCGAAAGTCGATCAATTGGTTCGGACTTGAAGAGGAATTTCTCCCTTGTGCTGGCGATGGGGATGCTTCTTTGCTCTGAGGCTTTGAGCGTCTCCGCCGGAATGACGATCGGTGGAAGAAGCGGAATTGGGGTTTTACTTCGTAGTAGCACAGTTCCCCGGCCAGCTCACATTCGTTGCATTGTGGGGATCCAGGGTTCGTTAAGCATCGTTTATGCCGCTGGCGACATCGCCGGCAGCTGCTCCTGTGCCTCATGTCGGAAATGGTGAATGGGACGGAGGAAAAAGAGGACTGAAAGGGGCTATTAAAGGCCGTCCGCTTTCTGGGCCATCGTGATGCAGTGAGGGGTTTTGGAGGAGAAAGACTTCCAAATCAGGAACTGAATTCCGCGGAGAATCCAACTCGGGTTAGAAGCCATGACTCGCTAATCACGTCTGGACTCTCCCCCATGGGGTTTTGCGTGCGGGGAGTGTGAAAGCTGGAGATTGAGATCATGATCGCTAATATGCCTGGGCTGGGCAATAGCCAATAGAATGAATCCCATTTCAAGTGCTAGCCCGCTTCAAGAAACTAACCGTTGAGCCGAGCTGCGTCCGTGACAGTTGCTATGGAACGGCCGAGTTGGTTTCATTCCATCTAGCGTGGACGGGGGTTGGGACTTAGTCCATATAGCTCAGTATAAATAACACTGAGAATACCGCTTCAGTTTCCCATAACCTCATTCATCACAATATCAAGTGTATCATCCTCCTTCTTCTTTCTAAAACCTGCTTAGATCGTCACTGAGCCTCGACGGCCCATTCATCATGGACCCTGCCAAAAAGTCATCAGAAGACACCAGGGCATCAATGGCCAAGGAGGGCCAGATTGAACAGGTTGAGAATTTCGATCTCAAAACCTCCTATGCTACAGTCCACCTTGCCGATAGCATTGAGGAGACCAACACTGGAAAGTTTGTTTGGCTGATTGGCCTGACGGCCTCTATCGGCGGCATGCTATTTGGCTACGATACAGGCATAATTTCAGGCGCACTCGTCTATATCCATGATGATCTCGGTCATAACCTTTCTTCTAACGAAAAAGAGCTCATCACCGCGCTTTGTTCTGGTGGTGGCTTCTTTGGGGCTATTTTTGCAGGTCTCTCGGCAGATAATTACGGACGCAAGACGGCACTGTATGGTGCCTGCTTTCTCTTCACAGTCGGTGCTATCATCCAAGGAGCTGCATACTCGATTGCACAAATGGCCGTGGGGCGAGTGATAGTTGGCTTCGGTGTCGGATCAGCAGCCATGATCGTGCCGCTCTACCTCGCAGAGATTGCCCCTGCCAAGTTCCGTGGCCGAATGATCGGGTTCAACAACACAAGCATTACTGGTGGACAAGTCATCTCTTATGCCATTGGTGCCGCCTTTGCCTACGTTCCCCATGGCTGGAGGTACATGGTTGGTCTCGGCGGCCTTCCAAGTGTGATTCTTGCTTGTCTTCTCCCTTTTTGCCCCGAATCGCCGCGACAACTTGCTGCCCATGGCAAATTCGACGAAGCCCGGGCGGTTATTGCTCGAATTTACAAAAACGCTACCGAGGAGATGGTGGATGCCAAGCTCGAAACGATTAAAGCAGCTGTAGACCAGGATAACGAAATCTCCAAAGGGAAGCGCTGGAAGGCAATCAAGAAGATGCATACTCATGGGCCCAGTTTCCGAGCTCTTGTTTGCGCATGTGGACTCAGTAAGTCTGCCCCAAACCCGGGCCAAAGTTCAGTGGATGTAGGAAAACTAAAAGTACTTGTTTCCTAGTGGTTCTAAGTCAGATGAGTGGTTTCAACACACTGATGTATTATTCTGGTACTCTGTTCAACCTCGTCGGGTTTTCGAACCCTGTGGCTGTTGGTCTTGTTGTCTCCGGCACAAACTTGGTCATGACATGGATCAATGCCTTCCTTGTCGACCCATTCGGTCGTCGCCGACTTCTCATTTACACCGTCTGGGGTATGTCAGCTGGGCTCGTCGCCGTTGCGGTGGCTTTCTCCTACATTCCTGTGGATCTTGAATCTTTGGAGTTGAAGGAGACAGGTGGAGGACCATCCACTCCCGCCATCGTAATGCTGGTGTTTATTCTCTGGTTCTGCGTCTTCTACGGATTGTCAGTCGGAAACATTGCCTGGATGAGCGTCGATTTCTTCCAAATGGACATTCGCGCAATGGGGTCAATGTGGATGACCTGCTGCAATTGGGGACCCAACGTTATTGTCTCATCCACCTTTCTGACAATGATGAAACGCCTGACTCCGTCGGGAGCATTTGGATTTTACGCCTGCATTGTCTTCACCGGATGGTTGCTGATAATTTTCTTCTACCCCGATGTATCTGGAATGACTCTGGAGGAGGTTAGTCATGTGTTTGAACATGGTTTCGGAGTGAAGCATTCTAGGGAGCTTCAGAAGGCGCGGAAACAGGCCAAAGCTGGCATTCGAGATTAGGCATTTATGAAGGCATGTGTCTTGCCTGTATTATAGCAGACAATCTCATGCAGGTATTGAATGTGCGTCTATCACTGGCCTTTGGGAGATGGAATGACACTTTTCCATTGTCCTCAAAGAACATTAACAGGCAAGAATTGACCAGTAGCACTATTAGCGTTGTATACAATTTTTGTTGCATTTTTACGACCGATTTAAGTTTTTATCTTTGTAGTCTTGATGTGAATAGAAAAGTAAAATGACGAACTCTGTTTCTGGGAAGTGCCGCTTGGCTTGAGCGGCTGTTTTCCTTGAGATGCTCTGGTAATACAGTTAGATTAAGATCTTAAAATAATTATTTCGGTTAATATCTGATAGCATGTGATACTTTATGCAAGATGGATTTCAGACTCGCAAAATTGCTCTTCTGGAGCTGCAACGAAGCACATTCTTTTTCCTGGTGTGGTCTCGGGTAACACGTGACCTGCAGGCTGACAAATATTGGCTCACGTTGAGGTTTTTCCTCGATGAGACTCTCAACCAAACCCTATTGAAATATTTAGACCCGGCTTCCCACGAACCGCTCAATTGAGGCCTGTAATCAAAATTACCTTCATTCAGTGTCTATGAAATAATTGAGCTTCCAACCCCGGGATTCCGAGCAGCTGAAAATGACGAATCCGGATGAATTGGCGACCCAGTCTCAGTCAGGGGTTCCGTTGCTAAAGACATGCCAGACATGCTTCAATGCGAAAATTCGCTGTGTAAAGACCCAAGAATCTGGACTATGCGATCGATGCTTACGGCTGGATAAAATATGCATTTTCAAACCTGCTCGACGTAGCAGAGTTCGGCAAGGGTAGGTTACTGAACTGCAGAGCAGCGATCATTCTCTTGGCACTAATTGGCGATAGTCGAACCGCGACGTTGGAAGTAAGGGCACGAACTGATTCACGGTCGCCTTCGGGTGTTCCTACGATGTCAGGAACAGAGAATCGCGTCTCAACCCCCAATCTTATACTTGATGACCACTCATCGGATCCATTCAACTCGGGGCTGTTGTCTTATGAAGCTGCAGGAAATCTCGTTGAATACTACAACACCAAGATGGTCACACATTACCCTTTCGTAATTGTTCCACGGGGACAATCTGTCAAAGAGTTGGCGCAGAACCGGCCAGGCCTGTGCCTCGCCACCTTTGCAGCAGCTGCCCACGATAATGTGCAACTTCAGCGATCACTCAACACACTTTTCAACAAGCTTATCTCTGCAAGACTTCTGAAAGGGTCCTTCGCAAGTCTGGATATACTACAGGGCCTTCTTGTCCATGTTGCATGGTAAGGCAGCCCACAAATAACTAAGCTGAAACACTACTCAGAGTAACATACAGGGGACATTATCAAACTCGTCCAAGGCGCTATACACAGTACCTCCATCTGGCTACTAGCATCGTGAGTGATTTGAGAATTGACCAGCCAAGAAAGCCTAGGTTATGGAGTGTAGATGGGGGCAAGGAGAGGGATTCTGCCGACTGGGGGATCGAGGAAATGAGAGCTCTCGCTGGTGCCTACTATTTGTCATCGAAGTAAGTATCCGGCAGAGCCGCAATATTATGGCTCGGCTAACAAAGAAGATAGCACCTCAATTTTGCTGCACAAGTCGCGCCATTTCACTCATAGTTCCTACATTTCGCGTTGCGTCGAATATATTTCTGCGAACGCAGAAGTCCCAACAGATACTCATCTGCGGTACCTAATTCAGCTTCAAAGGTTGACAGAAGAGATCGACGATGTCTGGAATTCTGATTTAGATGGCTTGGAAAAGCAACGAGCTGGAGAAACCATACGACACGTCGCCACCAATTGTGAAACGATCAAGTCCAGTTTGCCTTTTCCCATCAACGAAAGCCGTGAGCCCCCAACACTGCAAATTAATAACAATAATTTCTAACCGTGTAAAGTTCCTATTCTCTTTCAATTCAACTTATTGGAACTTTTCTTAAGCCAATCCTCGCCCGGAGGAAGTCATTACGGGGTTGATAAATTCGATAAGCCGGTTCCGGCCCAGCCCAGCCAAAACTCCAACTTAATCGACTGGCTATCGGCAAGTATTTCTGCTGCGCAATCGATAATTCGTATCATCATTGTTCTCCCGTCTGGAGAAGAGGCAATCTTGTCGAACATTTCATGGATCATCATATACTGTGCTCTTTCACTGGCTGTACGCTTGGACCTCACAGCCGCCAAGACCGCCTCCACCCAATTTCTCAGACGCTTCCTCGATATGTCCCAGACTCTCCGACAAATCTGCATCCGTCTTGAAGCAGCTTCAGGGGAAGATGCTGACGAAACTGGTGATCGCAATGCCTTTTATCACTTGGCTCTTCGAGCTCGCCGTCTCGAGAAGTGGTACCAGAAACAGAGCGCTGAGCAACCGGACGACAGTCATCAAGATCAGGGTCCTGTGGACAACGACCCATCACTTTCTGATTTAGCACCAAGCTCTGTGGATATGTCGGATGATAGCATGGATTTTGGAATGTCCTCAGTTTTATTTTCAGACACATTAGGCTTCCCGATACATCTAGATATAGAGAACGAGGGGATGTGGAGCGATTTCACTCCGGCGGGCTGAAACACACGGACGGACACGGACACGGACACGGACAAGGACATTGTAAGCTGAAGAGACATTCACCGAGCAATCCGACACGGACATTGGCACAGCCGCGCGGATCTTAGATGAGGCAAGCTACCATCGGGGCACCTCATTTTATTTCGTTTTCAAGATGAATTCATGGTATTTCAATGCAGATCAATATTTCGAGGCGTAGTATCTATTTATGGAGCCATCGATTCCTGGCTCCCGTATAAAGGTTGAACGACGCATGCTTCGAAATCATCATACACCACATCCATCACCTCTTCACAGTCTTATCTGCTTCCCCTCGTTTCCAATGTTCAAGCTCACCTCTATCTGCGCCAGCGTGGCGCTTCTTGCTACAACCGTCGTAGCGGCAGAAGATGACATCGCCTTCTCGGCGTGCGGGTTAATTGGTTCATATTATCCCCCTCCACACATTCTGAAGTCGTCCAAGACTGCCTCAAGTATCAACACCACATTCACCCAAGTATTTGACAAGTTGATCCAAGACGGAGGGAGTGAGAAGTATGGTAACATCACAACCAACAGCACATCCTTTTCAGTGGTGATTTTCAGTGGATCCGCAGATCTTCGTGGTGATCCCACATTGTTTGAGTACCACTACACTTCACCAATGGACCTGCAGGAGACTGGGACCAGTCTTACTTCCGACACTGCATTTCCAGTGGGCGACTTGACCATGGTGTTCACCGTTTATGCATGGCTTGTAAAGATGGGCGAGACTTGGGACACCCCTATCACCAAATTTCTCCCTGAACTGAAGACGCTCAATTCGTCTTCTATTGCCTCATGGAACGACATTACCATCGGATCTCTGGCTGGCCAAGTCTCAGGATTGGTTCGAACATGTATGTTGATAAGTCTGTCGCCATTCAAAACTAGCAAAGACTAACATCTAATAGCATATGCTTGCGAAATTGGCCAAAGCTGCGATTGGAACGGTAAGTTACCCCTTCTATCAAACAATATTGGCTTTTATTGGGCTAACCAATTATTTATACAGACTTTGTGCTTGGACTGAGCAAAGAGCCATTTTTGTTTCGCTCTGACACAACCCCAATCGTATCATACACCGCTTACCAACTTCTTGCATTTGCTATGGAGAAGGGATCTCAAGGCCATAGCTTTTCGAATGTCTTGAAAGAAGCCGTCTTTGAGCCTCTCGGCATGAGATCCAGCGGTTTTCTCGGCGACAAGTCTAACAACCAAAGCATCTTCGCCATCGGAGGGCTTAACATGTCGCAGACAGGTGAACCTGGGTACGTACATCAAAGCAGCCAGCACATATATTGATTTTATCTAACCTTCGCCAACAGGGCCATTTCTCTCGTCAGCTCCATCTCTGATCTTGTCCGTGGCGGCCACGCCATGTTGGACTCAACTCTCCTCGACAAGGCAGTAACCCGACGCTGGCTGCACGGTGCATATGCGACCTCAAACCTTCGAAACGGCGTCGGCCGCCCGTGGGAAGTCTATCACTCTGGCTCCACAGCCATATCTCCCGTTCTCGATGCTCTGACAAAGAGCGGCACCATCGGGAAATACGCCAGCTATTTCGGTCTTGTTCCAGAGCTTGAGGCTGGGTTTGCTATCCTAGCGCACGACAGCACCGTTGCGGATCGCAAGCTTGACCTCAACGTGCATGCTGATATCGTCAGTGAAGCCTTGGGATATTTCATGAAGGCGGCTGCCCAAGAGACTGTTGCGCGGTACGGTGGCTCATACGGAGCAAATGATGGCAATGGGGTATTTGGACTTTTCAACATCACAAGCAACGGATATGGGCTGGAGGTTCAAGCGCTTCGAGATCAGAATGGCGTGGATCTCAGAAAGGAGTACGCGAACATTCTGGATATTGAAGAGGCAGACTTGGACTTCCGGCTGTACCCTACTAATGTGCAAGACAAGTCTCGACACCAGTTTGTGGCTGTGTACCAGGACAAGAGTGCGCCCATTGATATGGGTACGCCGACATGCATTACTTGGCAAGAGGTCGGTGCGGTATCTGGTATTGCAAACCGGTTCTGGTTTGAATTCGGTGAGAGCGGCACTGCCGCTCGAGTTAGGATTGATCAGGGAGACGTCGTGTTGGAAAGAAGCGAATAACTCGTCGTGGCAGCAACATCGACAAGTGTATCAAGTAGACTAGCAATTTGGAAGAACGGACTGGAGGACATATAGAATTAGACTTCAAGAGATTATCTCAATAGAATTGAAACTATATTTTCATACTATAAAGATATCCAAACAATGGCGATATCCTCTTTTATTTCCCACATGGTTGAGGTGCATCCCTTTGATCGAGGCCCCCAACAAGACGTCACAACACCACACTCATGTTTTTCTGATCACCGCCATGGATAAGAAGCGTCGAAAATCCTCCTGTTCACTGTTTTGACTTCTTGCGCCAAAACAGACACATATCCAACATATCTCTCCAGAATCCAGTCGGAGGCTCAGTGAAGGTGGCTTCATAGGCATCGATGTCAGGCGCCTCCCAGACGAGATCCACCTCGTGAGGCTTCACAATCTTGGTCTTTTTGAAAAGCTTCCACCCGAAGTAGAGGATCGGCGCCAGCACCTGCATAGTGTAGTTTTGAAAGAACCCCTGTACAGTTGGGGGGCCAAAAGCAGTGTATCCGTAAAAGATGAGGACGATAGAGATGAAAAAGATGCCAATGTAAGCCGAATAAGGCTGAAAGTAGGCATAGTAAGGGAGCGTTTTCCGCTCAAGTCCCTGGACCTTGCATGCTCGATAGAAGTTGACATATGTGATGCACACCACGAGATAGTCGATTAGTGCTCCAGCAGTGATGAGAGAGACCAACCAGTTGATTACCTGGGCAGAATCATTCGACAGCTGTAGAAAGGACAAGAAAGGGAAGCACATGACGATTCCGTAAGCATAGATTGGCACTCCTCGGATAGTCTTTTTTAGCAAGGCGGGTGCCCTGCCCTCGAGAGCGAGGCCGTAGAGAGATCGAGTAGCGCAGTAGGTCAGTGTGTTTCCAGCCGAGAAGATTGATGTGAGCAGAAGAGCATTCACGACATGGGGTAGACCCTCGACTTTGAGATTGGACATGGCGATGACATAAGGAGAGGCGGCAGCACCAGACGCGCTACTGTTGCCCTTGAGAATGGCCTGCAAAGCTGGATCGTCCCAGGGCACAACAATGCCGACGCACAAGGATCCAAGGATGAAAAACAACATGAATCGCCAGTAGATTGTCTTGTAGGCATTCTTGATGACATGTCGAGGTCGGCAAGCCTCTGCAGAGCACATGGAGATATACTCTGGGCCAACAATGCAAAAGGATGCGGACCAGAGAGCAGCACAGAACCCTTCGAAACGGCCCAGATCACCGGTGCTCCGGTGTTCGGCAAAGGCTCCAGGGGTCTTCCAATAGCGAAATCCATATGGATCGTGCTGAGGATTACCGCCAACCATCGTCACAAATGTGAAGAAGAATAGAATGAAGATGAGAAGAACCTTGCCGATGGAGAGCCAAAACTCGGCTTCGCCAAAGATTCCGACAGCAAGGGCATTAATCAAGCTATGTTCACTCTTGTTAGCAATCGACAAAGAGTTCTTTCAGCATCTGATGGGGGACCCGATAGAAGGTTGACAATTCATCAGGACGAGGGATCAGAGAGATTTACGCATAGAGCACGATGCAAGCAACACACACAGCAGCAACGGGGATATCATCACGCCAATACTTCAGCACAAGATTGATAGCCGTGATTTCGAATGGGATGAGGAGCGCTTCATAGAGGAAGAAGTTCCAGCCCACCATAAACCCCAGCGCATCGTCATACCACTTGCCAGCGAGGCGGATGAAGCCACCGGCAACGGGCTGATAGACAGTCATTTCAGCGAGACAATTATTGATACACGCCAGAAGTAGAGAGTATAAGGTGTAAGCGATGAATAGATTGGCAGGGCCGCTGGCTGCAAGGCCGTTTCCGATGCTGACGAAAAGCGCAGTGCCGATAGAGCCACCGATGGCAAGAAGCTGGACTTGACGATTATTGAGTCGCCGGTGGAGGCCCTGGGAGTTAGGGGCAGAATCTATCTGCAAACTCCCTTGATCGTCATCGGAGACGGCTTTCTTCTCGGTCTTCTCCATTTTTACCAGAAGGACCAGAAGACGGCACTAAAGAATTCGGGGACGTAGGTTTCTGAAAGCCTGAGCATAGAAGATCGTATAGAACCAGAATATGTCAAAGAAGAGAAAGTAATGAAACACTAACTACACGTTGCGAGATGACGGGGTGTCTGAATGCCTCATACGTGGTGGTGCGAGGGCGTAGTTTTTTTTTGTTTGAAGGAGGGAAAAAGTGAGTGAGACACAAAAACATCGGGGAGACACGAAAACCATTGGGGAGACACCGGAGGATAATTCTGTGATCCACATAAGTCGAGGCAAAACTCGAACAGGCCCGTAAAGGCAGCGCAAATGAGACCCCCCTACCTAAGCTGAATCAAAGGATGACTTCTTGGCTACACCAACAGCTGGCAACCAATGGATTCACGTTGAAGGGACCCGGGAATTAGGAAAACAAGAGCCAGGGGGAAACGATGACGTTGATGTGGAACCTGCCCAGCATCCTCCACGAGGCCAAGTAATGAGCTGTGGGGTTATGGGCTGACTCTGGCCCTAAAGCGCTCAATGCAAGCCCGGAAGTGCAAGAATAGATCTAACCGCTCAACGTAAAGCTCCGAGTGGACTGATAATAAGACCGTAGGACCGTTGTACTCATCGGTGGGGAGTTGGGGAGGTCTCCTTATATGAAAACGGGATCTGGAACATGCTCACATGAGTTTGCCATCATGCCAGTGATGCTGCGGGGAATTCAAGGGTGACCCGGCTAGATCACCCATGTTTACTCCACTACCTACCCATAGCCCTCATTAACAAGTGCTGAACCAAGTGAGGGAATTCATACCCATATCGAATCAATACTAATATTGAGAGGCCTTCTTCCCTGTCTCTAGCCGATGGAGAAAACCCCTTGCAGTCATGATACCTTTCAAGGGCAACAAGCCCTTGTTATCTTCTAAACTTACTTTTACAAGCGACGCTTAAAAGGGGACTTTGATAACCCCGTACGGCCGATTCGTTATGAGCAATCAATTAATCAATGGGCAGGTATTATTCCCAAGCAGTCTTGCTAACCCAAATATGTGTCATGGATTGACTCCATTTTCGCCTGTCGAGTTGGTCACAGCTATTGTAGCCCTTCATGATCTTCCTGACCACGTTAGCGGATGTTGGGACCTCACGGAGCACTCAATATTTATAGAATACCGATAAAAGACTACATAAAATATGTTTGATTTTACTGCAAACTCTGTACTTTGCCTATACTTTAGGCTGAGGGGCAAAGGTGGTACTCTCTATCTTTACATTTGTTTTCAAGAGAAGCTCGAAATGAGATCTCTGTAAACGATGGAATGCGAGAACTGGTGAAAAGAGCAAGCGCTGCCTCCATAAAACAGAGTTAGGAGATTTGGCCAAGATATCGAGGGTGTGACTCGTATTCCGAGTCAAATAGCTAAGAATATTGAGAATAGAAACACGCATTCCTGCCCCCAACAGGAGGTGGAGTCTATCACTGTCTTGTACACCCTTTTGGTTAAAACCTTCTGAAATTCTCGGTATTCAATCATGCAAATCCTTCTCCAAGGTTACTGCCGGCTTATCTAGTCGATAGATCATTTTGGCCGTGTTGAAGTAGGCCTCGTACTCAACCTCGCCACCTTCTTCCAGGTCATAGTGATAATGTCCTCCAGCATTTCCTCCATTGGGTGAAAACCCATGTGTGTGCTCTAGTCGCAAACCCATTTTCCTGCCTGGGTCAGCAGAATGCAACACAGACATACATACAACTGGCCCGTCAAAATCATGATATGTCAACCAGTTGTTGAGCTGGGCGAAATCCTTGAATGGAAGCTCCTTTTCCGAGGGGAAGTCTGGCATGACGTGGTAGTGAGTCCTTCCCGACTTGATCAAGAAGACCCCTCCGAGACTGATCGTCTGGGAATCTCCATAGGTAGCATACATGGCTTTGCGTATACATTCCGTAAAGCTCTTTTCAGTGCCCTTGCGCCGTCGGGCGGTGACTTTAATCACAGGGCCTGGCTCGCCCATTGAACCGTAAAGATTAATCATCAACGCGCAGTCCATAGTTGGACTGTTCTCGATACACACATGACCGGTCTCTGAGCTAATCCTGGCATATTTGGTCTGGTTGTTGATATTATCAAGACCTCTTTCCCAGCTCATGTTGGGCGAAAGCTCGCAGTTCACTCCGACGTTCTGAAAGGGACCGGCGCCTGCACCAATCAAGCTTCCCCTCTCGGGGCTCATTTCCATTGATTTTGCAATGTCAGCCATCGACCAAATGCTGTCTAGGCGAGGTAGAGGGAACAGATTTGGTTGACCGCCAACATCAGCGACCTTCTCGTCACCTGACAGACCTTCAGTGGCCAAGTTGAACGGGGCTTTTCTTAAGTCGGGGCACTGAACAATAGTGACTGTGGACTGTTCGTAGTTGGCTGCAAGAGGAGCCCGAAGCTTCTGGGCCAGTTCATCGAGGGAGGGTGGTGATAGTCGGAATTTCTGCACGTGCATGTTGTGCTATTGTGAGGAAGTTTCCTCACTTGCTGGCTTTTCTTTCAGGGGGTAATCTACTTTGACGCCTTCCGCCTGTCCTCGACTGAGATGCATTCCATTTTGAACAATTGCAGCACTGAATCCCCAGACGTTTGTCGGCCCTAGTTCCGCCTGTGTCCTGGAGGGGAATCTAGCTGGTCGGTCTCCCTCCGCTTCCTCGGCCGACAGAGCCGGCTGGCTCTCCACGCCCCATCTTCTCGTGGAGAGCGGCCCCTGAATTCTATGGCACTGGGACAAATCAAAAGGCAAATATTCATTCTCCGACCGGCCTATGTCGGTCGAGTTCGGGATGCTCAACACTTAGCCTAACGTTCCCAGGTGAGATGGCGATGGACCATAATGGCATGAGTGGTTTCACCTTTCACTTTCATCACTCGCATCTATTTGCGGCTAGATTCCCGTACGACTTTTCACTTATTTAGTATCCTTATCTCATCCAACGCTTCCTCTCTTGTCCAGTATTTCTCATACAACAATACACACCTTCATACCCTTCGCCGTTTCCTTGGTCTCAATTCAATTACTCACTATGTCGACTGCCGATCCTCCGGTTCCCGAGGTGTTCCCCATTTACCCTGATCTTGCGGGAAAGGTTGCTCTCATCACTGGCATTGGCCAGGTTGGACCTGCTGATAGCCTTTTCTGGGGTAACGGCGCTGCCACAGCCCGCCTCCTGTCTCGCAATGGGGTCAAGATTTTCGGCTGTGATCTTCACCTCGCTGCTGCTGAGCGTACCAAGACTCGCATTGAGGAAGAAGACCCCAAGGCGGTGGTTGACGTCATTGCTGCCGATGTCATGAAGACCTCGGATGTCGAGGCCTTGTTCCAGGCTGTTATGGAAGAGCACGGAAGAATTGATATTCTTATCAACAACGTAGGACAAACGGCGGCTGGAAACCCAGCTACCATGTCCGAGGATCTCTGGAATCGCCAAATCGACCTTAACCTTACCTCCGTTTATCGCCTATGCCACCACGTCCTGCCTGTCATGCAGAAACAAGGCTCCGGAAACATCATCAACAATGCCTCTATTACAGCTATGCGCTACATTGGAAAGCACCAGATTGCATATGCCTCTGCCAAGGCTGCTGTGATTCGATTCACAAAGGCTGTTGGAGTTATGTATGCCAAGGAAAACATCCGATCCAACTGCGTGGTGCCGGGATTAATGTACACACCTCTTGTTGATAACTTTGCCCGCAGCGATGATCCTGGTGACCGCGAAGCCGCAAAGAGAATCTTGGACCACAACTGCCCGATGGGATGGATGGGAACTGGAGCCGATGTAGCAAATGCTGCTGCCTGGCTTGCAAGCGGAGCCAGCCGATATGTAACCTCCCACGAACTCGTTGTGGATGGGGGAATCACCGAAAGCACGGGAACTGGATTTCTCGCACAATAGACAAGACATATACATTTGATATCAAAGGCAACTTATCAATTGTGTAATTACATTCATAAAGTCTGATGGTGTAACCCGTTGAATCATACGACAACATGCCGTGGCTTATCCTCTTGCGTAGCAACCTCGCTCTTCCGAGCCATGTACTCACTACAAATCCATCGGGGAAACAGACGGCCTTAGGTAGTGACTGCGTACCTTTTGCTCACTTCCGGGCATCCAATGTTGATTACGGTGTTTTCAAGCATTACCATTCAATATCTTTATGACGGGAGATGGCGCTGTGGCTGAGGTGTCTTTCCGATTCCGGTGCTTTACAGTGAAAGATTTATAGAATACCAGCCTGTTTCTTCTAGCGTACTACTGACTACAAATGGACAGCATCTACATGCCGTTGATGGGAACTGTGACTAGGCCAGAGCTAGCTTTTTCAAAAATTACCATGGTTTTTTGCAGGAACAAGTGCTCATTTCGTTGTGTTAGATTAAATTTATCTATGAAAGTAACGAGGATCATGGGTTTTAAGTTTCTAAGCCCCTGGAAAGGCCACGGAGTATCTCATATAATGCCCACGCGCCGGGATCAGGGAGCTCCTGGTTAGGTGCCTCGCCAACGTAAGTTGCTCTTCCAAACTTAGGTTTCAAGTATCTTGTCTGTTCGGCCATTCTGCCAGCAACCTCCACAGCAGAGCCTAAGCTTTTAGATTCTGTAAACTCCTTCTCAAAAGGAAGCAAGACATCCATGACAGTCCTGTCACCTTCCCTAGCTCCGGTGTGTGACTTCAATGAGAGCACAGCTGAGCTGAGAGCATTGGCATAAAACTCGAGCGAATTTTGGCCCAGTTTGCCCTCGAAAGCAATTCTTTTGAGAGATGTTGAAAACGAAGAGAGGAGGATGCCGAAAATGGCACCCAGCGTTCCACCCATATCGTCAACACATTTGATAACGTCTCTGAGCAAGCTGAGAACGTCGCCATTCTGCGGAGGGCAGGTTTGAATATTTTGCAGCACAGAATCAGCAAGACCTTTCACAGCTTCACCGCAGTCTCCGTCGCCCATAATCATATCCCATTCGGTTAGATACGGCTCTGCAGCAATTGCCGCTTCACAAGCCATCTTCACAGCTCTTTTTAACGATGCAGCATCAGCGTATACATGTCCAGCCTTGGTGCTTTGGTCGGTTACAGCCTCTTTGTGGGCCCTGAAATTGGGTACGCCCACCCCTGGTGGCGGGCGGTATGTATTTGGCCAAGACACGGCAGTGGTTGGCTGGTTGAACATGGAGAGAAGCGCGTCAACACTCGAGTTACATTTCTTGGCTGCCGCGCTCAAGTTACAAAGGGAGATTGAGAACCCGGGGGCATTCAATGAGGCCTCAAACGTGCCAATATATGTTTTGCAGGGCTCGATGTTCCAGCGGGATGCAAGCTGTTTCTGAGTTTCGTGGGCTAGAGCGCCCAGCTCGAGAGTAGAGAGGCCGCCGTAGTTGTTCACAAGCAGTCCAACTTGGTCATCGGGCCCAAATTGAACGAATGCACGCTCCGAGTCAGATTGATCCAAGAGCAAACCGAGACACCGGCTAACGAGATCTTCAACTAACGGGACAGGGTTTATAGTTTGTTGTCCCGGCTCATTGTGAATGCCAGCTCCGATCACGCAAGTATCGTCTGCGAGATATTGGTGTTGCCGTCCAGGTACGTGACAATGGTCAAGAGCCGAGCCAATGGTAACAATATGGTCGTTGACTGCGCTTCCGATGTTGACGCACTCTGTGAAAGAGAGTCCCGATGCAGCTGCTGCTCCGAGGATTTTCATTGCTACGATTTGATTCAAAGGTAAGCTAGAATTCCTAGAAAGCATACACCGAGAAGCATGAATCAGACTCACTGAATACGTGGCCTGCCATCCCTCTTCTCCCCAGGCGACTGTTCTTGCTTTTTCCGATTGAAACATCGTCAGTAGCAGCCAAGATGACAATGTTGTCAGCCAATCCCTCAGCTTTGGCCTTTTCAGCGGCGAGTCCAAAGTGAAGCCGGTCACCGGTGTAATTCGTGATGAGAAAGATGACACCCTTGCTGGAGGGTACCATCCGCATAGCAGCAAGAATTTGCTTTGTACTTGGTGACGCAAAGATGTCGCCGCACGCCGCAGCTGAGAGGAGGCCCTCGCCGACATAACCACTCCATGCTGGTTCGTGTCCCGAACCGCCTCCGCCAATGATGGCTACTTTGGCGTTGTCGTGAAACCCATCGGCTACTGCACGCTCTCCCTCGTCAAGTACTAAATGAGAGTTGGCTGAAACCAAAGCCCTCAGTGCCCTTGGAACCAGGGTATTAGCAGCTGTCGAGGGAAAGTAGTGTTTGCCAGACATGGTTCAGGGCTGGCGCAGTTTGAAAGCGAGCAGAAAGTCGTTGGGTCTTGACAGCACGAGCTTCACCTTCATATCCGTCATTCCAAATGACACCCATTAAGTATTTGATAAGCCCCGTGGTTCAGACTGAACGATAAGCGTCCATTGCATTGAATCTGGTTTCGGTCGAGATTAGTTTCATTTCGGCTTTAGAGCTGTACTGATGGTCATCTGTATCAAATCACCATCCTATTGAGCGTCTAGCTCCGGAAAATTGCCGTTATGTCGGCCGAAATTCCCGAAGGCTTAACCAAGAATCCCCCCTTTTTTTCTGATTTCCCCAAGCTGTCGTCCCATTCTTTTAGCCCAATTCTGTTTTTTTTTTCTCCTAAACTCGTGACTAGTTAGGGGCGAAAGCCTCACCTTTCAGGCAATCTTGCTTCCAGCCAATGTGCATACTGAGTTTGGGGTTGCGTGGGGGCAGGCCAGCCTCCTTAGCTCGGCTGGCCCTGTGATCGCAAGCGGCAACCAGTCCCCAGTTTCTAGCCACTATAGGACGCCAATTCTACCAAAGGCCTGGCGATGTTAATCCCCTCATCTCCTAGCTCCCCCTTAATAAGCTTCCTCGCACGTGATCCATGCTGCCGTTTGTTCCTTGTAATCGAACTCAGGCTGGAGCAAACGTAAACCTAGATTGGAGAGTGACGTTATTCTCATTCCCATACATAAATCTTCCCCGCTGGACGGTGCCCTTTGAAGCAACTCGCAACTTGAGTTATGGCTCCCTCCCCGAATTCAAGCTCTTCACGCCCTGCTCAGCGGGCGGCCGTGGGGAGACTGGTAAAGGCGTGCCACACATGCAGGGCTGCAAAGGTAATGGCAGATACAAAGTAACTGATGCTGAATCTTGTACTGAGATATCATGGGCTAGATCAGATGCAAGATGCCGCATGGCGGACCTCCATGCGAGAGATGCCAAAGCCGACGACTCAAATGCCATGTCGACAAGAACGCACAGTCCATCCTTGAGGAAGCCAATAGGTACGCCTTTATTGCATGTAATCCTTCCTTAGACACCACAGCTTATGCAAAATCGTTACCAGATTGCGGGGATCCTTGACAGGTCAGGTCTCTCAGCTACAAACTGCTGTCAACATCCTGTTGCGCATGTCTAGGTTGCCGCCTTTAGCATCATATCCATCATCAACCAACCCAGAGGATGACATGACCCAGACCAGTGATGACCTGGCCGGTGAAGCAGATGAAACACTCCCCTTGGCACCAATTCTGACCCCCGTAGCCCCAGAGGAGGATAGTTTGTATGCACTGCCAATCAACTCGTTATACGAAGCGACTAGACTCCCTGCATTGAGAAACCCCACGAATCCAGAAACCCAGACGAGGACGGCTGTCTCCGACTTCATCTCCCGCGGCGCGCTGACCGAAGCTGCCGCTCAACAGCTCCTCCTTCTTTTCAAGAACAGACTGAATTATTTTTGCTATGGCATACTTTGCCCGCATGACACTTTATACAGTCTTCGTAGCAGTTCTCGTCTGTTGACGGCAGCTATCTGCACTGTTGCTTCGTTGCACGATCCAGATGCATCTGCCATGTTCAAGGTATGCCATGCCGAGTTCCTGAGGCTTGTTTCGTCCAGCATGTTTTCAGTTTCTTATTCCTGCGATGACCTTCGCGCGCTTATTGTCGGAGCCTACTGGTTGGGAAATGTTTCCTACACCCTACTTGGCCACGCCATCCGCATCGCTATGAGGTTAAATCACCACTTGGCCTACTTCTCTGTCATAGAGAATCCTGGCAATGAAGGCAGCCTTGAGAGAGCACGCCTTTGGTACTGCCTCTATATCATGGACCATCATTCTAGCATATTATATGGCCGTCCGGCGCTGATATCCCCCAAAGAAGAAGCCCACCAACAGTGGGAGCGATTTATTGAACTCAATGGCCACGTCGAAGTTGATCTGCGCATGTCAAGCCAGGTAGCTCTATATCATATCATAGCCAAGGTCAAGGATGTATTTGGAGGGTATTCACATAAAACAATACCCGCGCACTGCTTTGCTCAGTTGCTGAGCTTCCTCGGGGAGCTGGACCGATGGTATATGATTTGGGGGGATCGTATGCGTAAGGATCCCTACCTAACACTCTGCCTGCAGCTAGCGTATGGTTAACGAGCTGACGGCTTTTCTCTTAGCACGCAATGCCCACGTCGGGTGGTTCCCAAGAGATGGGGCAATACTTCACTACCACTTTGCCCGGCTGCACCTCTGCTCCTATATCTTCCGATCCATGTCTCTAGAGTCCGCGGCGACCGCTTCACCACAGGTGCGAGATTTTGCATCGGTTGCTGTGACCTCTGCCACCAGCGTGCTCGAGCTGGTTCTGGAAAGAGACGATCTGAGAACCGCCCTCGTAGGGATGCCCATCTATTTCCACGGCATGATAACCTTCGCAGCCGTGTTTCTTACTAAGGCCACCAAAAATAACTTCTGGGAACTCACCACCATCGACACACCCAAAGTTTACACTCTCCTGCAAAGATATGTCAGCGAGCTCCGGTCACAGAAAGCGGCCCGTCAACATCTGGTCTACCACGTGAGCAACGGCCTTGACGACATGATGCGAGCCTCTAGGAAGCTCACAGAGGAAGCATCCGGGATTCCGGATCTGGGTTCTCTGGAACAGCCACAGATGATGCTGACGATGGATTCCATGTTTGATATGAATACCTTTGATCTCCTACAAGAGTCGATTTCGCAGGATATGAACACAGCAGTTGACCAGGGAGATGAATGGCAAAATCAGTACGAAACATGGCCTGAGTAGGAACTATCAAATCGACTATCCGTTCTGAGGACTTCTGGAGGGCCACTCATCGTGTTTCGGCGATCCACGATGATCTTCCAGCTATTTCCATCCTAGCTGAAAGGGGAAAATGACCAGCAAAGTAACAGATGAAGATAACATATTACACTCGAGGGCTCGCGGCTATTGGAAACCATTAATTCGAAGAATATCTTGCTCTCGGGAATTATCGTGTTCGCTGATTCTTCCTCTCGTCGTAGTCATTTATGATATTGACTTTTTCGGCAGAAGCTGAGTTCTGTTAAGTCTACGTTAGCTGTATTGCGACACAAATGCCAACCAATAGATAATCCATGCTTACCGGATCAAACTCGTACCCGAGCCACTCCCTTACTAGCTTTCTGGCCAGCTCAATACCAATAACACGCTTCCCGAGACAGAGGATTTGCGCGTTATTGCTTTTGATAGCCCTCTCAACACTGAAGCTATTGTGGGCCGTGACAGCCCGCACTCCAGGCACTTTGTTTGCCGCAATTGCCACGCCTAGACCAGTTCCACAAATCAGAATGGCTCGGTCCACCTCTTTCTTAGCAACTGACTCAGCCGCAAGAATGGCGTTGTGGGAGTAGGCAGTCTTATCGCTAGATGTCTTGGGCCCAAAATCAATCACAGAGGAAACGCTGGCATTGAGGGCCAAGTCGTTGGCGATGATGCTCTTGTAGTCGAAGCCAGCGTCATCTCCCCCGAGGGCGATTCGGAGTTTGCTTCGTTCTGAAGACATGCTTTTAGATTGTCTTGAAAGCCAGAGTTCAAAGAGGAGATTACGTTAGTGTTCGGTCAAGGGGAAACAGGGGAGCAGGGCTGTCCCGTCCAGAAAACAAAACACTCCATTATTATAAGACATTCACGGTGATTATGACCACAAATATGCCTCTAGTCTAAGCAAACACCTTCCAATACTGGCTCAGACGGATAGTTCCAGCGGAGAGTTGAAGCTGGCCCTCCGGTGTCTCGGACCATCACTGGCAGTTTCCATTTCTTAGCGTACTGTTGCCATAGCATTTCACGGAGTCTCGGCCGATCACCGTACGAATCTCCGTGGTGTTTTTCATGTGGAGGAAATCCGGGGGCTCCGCGACCATGACTCGAAGGCACTAGTCTGGCTGAGAGAACTCTGCCTTTTCAATGCGCGTGAAGTGAAGGGCAATACGTGGGAACTTCCCATATAAACCCCACGTTTTTTTTTTGCCTTGCCGTCAGTGGCATTTAATCTTCATCTCCAAGCATTCCAACTACGAAGTCCTTCACCCTACATATTCTAAGTTTGTTCGATAGCCAGCCGGAGTGTAGAAAACAACGAAAAAATGGCCAACTTACCCGTGGACGAAACTCAGAAGGAGACAGGCGCAACAATGGTTGAGAATATCTCTGACAAGGCGTTTCAAGGCGTTGAAGACATCAACATTGACCCTGAGGCCGAGAAGAAACTTCTTCGCAAAATCGACTGGCACCTTCTTCCAATGATTTGGATCATCTACCTTCTTTCTTACATGGTTGGTCACCTGCCAGTTAAAGCAACACAGCCAGCTCGCTAACTCGTTCCGTAGGATAGATCCAATGTCGGAAACGCAAGAGTTGCCGGTATGGGCGACGCGCTCCAACTCACCGATGATCGATATTATATTGCCGTTGTGCTCTTTCAGATTGGCTATGTCGTTGCCGAAGTCCCTTCCAACATGATTCTTGCCCGATCAAGGCCATCGTTGTTTCTTCCGGCGCTCATGATATTCTGGGGAACCATGTGCGCCCTAATTGCTCTCGTGCAAAACTGGCAACAACTTGTCGGACTTCGCTTCGTGCTAGGAATCGCGGAAGCCGGATTCAGTGTGCGTATCTTATCGAGTCAGTGAAACTCCGAGACTAGACTAACGCTTGCACAGCCTGCTGTCATGTTCATCATCTCTAGTTGGTACAAGAAACATGAACAGTCCAAGAGATTTGTGGTCTTCCACAGTGCTGGTATCATGTCTGGGGCGTTTGGCAGTATTCTTGCGGGTGCCATTACTGATGGCCTCGATGGATCTCTAGGCATTGCCGGGTGGCGTTGGCTATTTATCATCGAGGGTGTCATTACCATTGCTGCCGCTTTTTCCGTTCCCTTTGTTCTTCTTGATTATCCATTGACGTCAAAGAAACTCACTGAGGAACAACGCCAACTTGCTTATTCCCGACTCCGTGCTGACGGAATTACAAGCCGCAATGATTCCGCGGAGCATCAAATCAGCCACTGGGCGGCTTTCAAGCATGCCGTCTCCAACTGGAGACTCGTCCCCCTCACGCTGGGTTACATGGTGGTGATTGGATCCATGTCTCTTGCCTATTTCTACCCTACCTTCACGAAGCTATTGGGATATAGCACAAAGGATGCGCAGTATGTATTCTCTATTCCTCAAGCTTCCATACTCTCAACTAACAAATATAGATATATGACGGCTCCTATCTACGGTGTCGCCCTCATTATTGCAGTAACACTCTGTATTGTCGCTGATATCGTCCCCAATTACCGCGCAATCTTTACCTGTGGTGTTCTATTCTTCTTTGGGGCCATCTTTTGCGCTCTTGCCGCGGGTATTCATCACCCTAAAGCCAGATATGCTTTTCTTTGCTTCATCAATACGGCCGTATGGTCTGCGAACCCCCTCTCTCTTTCCTATACGAGTACGGTGCTGGGACCAGTTCATCCAGAGGTCCGAGGTATTTGCCTAGCCATTATCAACGGTTTCGCCAACTTGGCTCAGCTCTACGGGACTTACATTTTCACCGCCGCGACCCCTCCCGAATACATCATGGGATTTTCCGTGTACGCTGCTATATTTACTGTCGGCGCTGCAATCTACCTCGGCTCCTTTTTTATCTTTAGAAAGTACCCGTACAAGCCTTTGGAGGCTTTCTAAGGCTAGAACTTGACGCAGCTCTATTGCAGCAATCATGTTACCTAACTAGACATAGCTGCCAGTTCAGCGATGCCAGGAAGACGTTTTGCACAAGAGAAAGCGGGCATAAATTGAAACATTAGGTACACTCTTTTTGGTGCCTGTACTTCACATTGGTCTGTAGGTCTTTTTCGCAATAACGCTATGTATGCACATAAAATTTGCAATCTCGGTGCAGGAAGTTTGAAACTAGTAGCATAAGCTTATTTACTACCTTATTAACTTATGCGTCCGATCATGATTCTCCATCCATGCTGTATACAGTTTGTTCGCCCAAGTCTTGATAGCGGGTGAGAAGATATTATTTGGCGTTCCAAAGGCTCAAATGGCCTATTGACGTGCTGAACTCAGCCGCATTGCCATATCGAAGGAGGCATCAAGGAGAGGTTTAGACCAGTTCGGCCACATACATCCCGATCAACCCAGCAACCATCACGGAAATTGCACGCCCCATATTCCAATTTCCCCAGGATCCAATCAAATAATGAGCTTTCTCGCCTGTCTCATCCACCTGGCTGAGGTCGGATGCACTCTCAAAAACCTTGAGTTTCCCCCGAAGCTTTTCGATAGTAGGCAGGACCATAACATATGTGAATGGCACAACACTAAGACACAACGATCCCGCCGTAACAAGAAGGGCCAAAACATCGGAATTCGATCTCAGCCTGTAGGCGAGGCTCAAATAGCTCAGGCCGCTGGTTACCATAGGTCCTGCAACCCACCACTTGGTAACCTCGAACATACTGTGCCAGCGGCGAACATTAAGAGGCGGAGGAAGTTCCAAGAACCTTGGGATTAAGAAGAATGTAAGAGAAGCATTGGAACTAGCGGCAGCGATCGCTAGAACATTTGTTGCAGCGAGAGCCAGTGGTAATTTGCCAAGCGTCTCAGCCATGATTTGTAGTCAAGTAATTGGGGTGATTTGGAGGGCGCTCGGTTGTTTAACTGTCGTAAATAAGTGTCGGTTTATAAAGCTTTTATTTATTTATTTCTATTACCATGCTTACTCTTAACAGCTTTTATACGGATGCCGATGACAAAGCGGATCTATATTCCGGAGTCCGGATCGCTCTCCGATCTGCCGACGGAACACAAATATTGTGTGAAGATTTCGGCCTTCGCTCTTTCATAAGAAAATAGATCCATCTTACAAACCATGACAGATAATGATAGAATTGGAATGCCTTAGAACATATTGAAAGCTGATTGAGCATCGTCTTAGAGTGAGCGAAAGCACGGCAGTATTCAACGTTGATAATGATGATGATGCAATACAAACAGAAACCAATTTTGGCTACAGATTGAACCAAAGGCTAAAAATCGATAGGAATATTCCGATCCAGATGTTTCTTTTCTAGACTAATGTGTGAGGAGCGCGCGTGAGGTAACCGCTATATTGCTGGCATGATGTTGGGTGTCAGATTAGAAAGGCTGTGAATCTAAATTAAGTTGTGGCAGAAATCTCTAACAAAGGTGATGCAATGCCGAGGTTTTGGTGTGTTTCAGAGTAAGTCAAAGGTCAGGAATGTAAATTACTGCACAAATTGAATTCCATTCTGCATTAAGGAGCCTTCACGTAGAATGATGATTACCCTGTACCAACGAACTTGCGGGTTGCGGTGCGAATATCCGATTATGAAACGGAAAAGCACCAAAGAAGGAATAATATTATCCGCCAACCCGTCAACGTGTGCCGATCGGCATCAATAGGTTCCCCATTTGCTTCCGCGTCATCCAACTGATGGTTTGCTGAAAGCATTCGCTCGTGGCATTGATACGTGAGTGATTCAAGTCCTGGCACTAACATCACGCAAAATTACCAACCTTCTAATGTTCACACTCTAAAAACACAAGAAGCCTTAGTAAATTGAGAATAGAGAGCCGATATATCTACCTTGAATGTAATTTTAAAACGTATCATTAAAATCCCCTTTCCACCATTTCACCGCCATCAATGAAAGCAATGAGATTGCGGTGCGTAAGCGAAGTACAAGCCGTCATCGGAGGAAATGCATCCCTGTTGAAGCAATTCAATTTGTGCAATGTCTTATCACCCAATAAATTCCCCACTGGCGAGTGAAAGATAAGCGATTCGCCATTTTAGTGCTTGGTCAGCATCTTTATCGCGCCGATTATCCGCCGGCCAGATTGATGAATGCTGCCCAAAGACATCCATCTCCCTATCACCATCACACTCATCATGAGAAACCATGTCTACCAACGAGACGACACCGCTCCTTAGTGACGACGGCATTTCGCCTGCGTCGGACAGACAAATCGATGAAGATGAGGTTCTCAAGGTCTCGCCGGAAGTTTGGGCCGAGCGCTTCATCGAGAAGGGCGAGAGCTGGCGACGCGACTATGAGCGAAAGCTCATCCGCAAGGTCGACCTTCGATTAATGCCTACCCTCGTCATCATGTACCTCCTCAATTTCCTCGATCGTTCGAATCTCACCCAAGCCCGACAGGGCACATTGGAACAAGATTTGGGGATGCAAGGTACAGACTACAATGCCGCTACCAGCATCTTCTTCGTGGGCTACTTGTTGATGCAACTGCCATCTAATCTGCTTCTCACACGGGTCAGACCATCTTGGTACCTAGCGGCCTCCTGCTTGTTATGGGGGATCATGTCAACATCCAATGCCGCGTCTCAGAACTTCACCCACCTCATCGCCATTCGGTTCTTCTTGGGCTTTGTTGAAGCTCCTTTCTTCCCAGGCGCAGTCTTTCTGATGAGCTCTTGGTATACTCGTGCCGAACTCACCCAGCGTATTGCATGGTTATACACCGGCAATGCCCTTGCTAACATGTTTGGTGGCCTTCTCGGCGCGACCATCCTGGGCAGTCTCGAGGGTGCTCTGGGTATTTCCGGCTGGAGATGGCTCTTCCTTATCGTATGTGGCAAATCCCGCCACCTGGATTATTGGATCAAGAGATGGTTAGACGACTGACAAATGTGAACAGGAGGGCGGTCTCGCCGTTTGTTTTGCGTTGCTATCAGCTTTCCTCCTACCTGATTACCCACACACTACTACATGGCTTGACTCCGAAGGAAAAGCCTTCGCCGCATGGCGCTTGCTTGGGGATTGCCAAGAAGCAGATTCATACAGTGACGTCTCTGTCTGGGAGGGTGTTCTTATGGCGATCAAGGATTATCGCCTGTACGCTTTCATTGTCTTCCAGCATACCAGCCTTCTTTCTCAGAGCTTCCAATATTTCTTCCCTGTTCTCGTGGGTACATTGGGCTACGATAAAATCACGACATTGTGGCTCACGGTGCCTTGTTGGGTAAGTTGATCCGTCAACACTGTGGCTATTCCTCCTGTCGACGATCAAGCCACTAATTAAACACTGATTCAGTTTGCCACTTTCCTGATTTCTATTGCTGTGACTTTTACTTCAGCAAAGACGCAAGACCGATCGATACACATTATTGGGCTCATGTTGGTGGCAACCATCGGCAACGCCATCGCAGCCACCTCGGACGTGAATGCTGTGCGCTACTTTGCCATGTTCTTGATGCCTATGGGCTCCATCTCTGCTTGTAAGTTCTCTCAACATACAGGCGGTATATCAAAGTAGCCTAATGTCTCACATTTGACCTGTAGATCAGATTCTGGTGGCATGGGTTGCAAACTCCTTCCCACGGCCGTTGGTCAAGCGTTCGGCCGTCATCGCCGTTTCCAACATGATTGGCAACACGGCGACAATCTACGGATCATATATGTACCCGTCTTCCACAGGTCCTCGCTATATCCTCGGGAGTACCATCAATACCTTTGTCTGCCTTTTAGTGGTGGTACTGGCTATTGCTCTACGATTTATCCACGTACGAGAGAACAAACGACTTGAGCGGGCTGAAGAGGACCACGGTGAGGTATCCGGGGACAGCGATGTATCTACGGAGACAAGGAACCCTAGGTTTAGATACATCTACTAGATAAACTGTTGGATGGAGCATCATAGAGGTTCTCTAGAGGAGTTGTTATAAATAGAGGGACTGCATTGGGGAGTTTAGAATGAAGGATAAGTCATAAATCGAGGACGGTGAGCTCGATGATCACATGATGCAAAGGCTCGATAACCTCAGAAATAGAGTCATCTACTACCAGAATGGAGGCATGAAAACTTCATGGGCGCTGGGATTAGCAGTTTGGATTTATTCTCATCCTTCTCTTTCTTTTTCAAGAGTACCTCTTGGAAGAGGAACTGGTGAGACTCCGTGTAGCACGTGATGCGCGTCACTTTTTAGCACGCTGATGCTTTGTGGGGCAACCTCCAATGTTTCCAGTCTTCTCGATACTTTCTCAATATCTATCATTTCAGCAATGTCGCATAGAAGCCGTGGCTGCTTACGATGCCGCCAGCGTAGGGTAAAGGTATCGTAGTCTCCCTTCCACACAAATCACAGTGACAGACTGCGCTGACTTCTTGCGTCGGGCAGTGCGACCAGGGCCGCCCTTCATGCCAAAGATGCGTCACGCGAAGCGAGCCTTGTGTGGGTTATAGAGATGAGCTTGATCTTTGTTTTCAAGACCAAACTCAAAAGACTGTTCAAAAGATTGGTTTTGCATCTCAGCAATTGAATGGAAAGGCTGGTCCAATTCCATGGCGAAACCACCGTGCCCGGAGTAGATCTCTTGATAGGATCAAGGCTCCTCCGATACAATATCACTCAGCCTTAGCTTCGCCACAACCTAATGGCAGTGGTGATATTGAAGATCCGAAAGACGAAGCCGTGTCCAACTTTCTCGAGAACTATGTACTCTATCCGTGCAATGAGTCCTCGTCTCCCGGCTTCCTTGAGCACTTACCGGGCCTCTTCAAGGAAGTCAATGTAAGTGGCCGGTTTGCCTTGCGATGGGCTGTGGAAGCCGCGTCACTGGCAGATTATTCTTGTCGAAAGAATGACGCGGATTCAGCGCGCAAGGCTCTTCAACAGTACAGCCGAGCCTACATGCGCTGGGCAAGTCTCTATCTAAGAATGGCAAAGAACCAGACGATTATGATTTAATGACAGTCGTGGTTCTGGACATATTTGAGGTATGTTTATCTTTCTTTGAGAATTCACTCGCTAGGTTGTGATGCCTTCTAATTCTGGTGAACCAGACCCTATTTATCCATGACGAGAACAGTTTTGGCGCCCATACTCAAGGAATGGCACATATCCTACGTCTACGAGGCCATAAACAATTCCATGACCCTCGGGGATGGGGCCTATTCCGACTGGCTCACCACCGGCTGGTATGTTTTAACTCGATAATCCGTCCGTGAACATATTGTATGTTAACAGAGAATGCCGGGAAGCAAAAGGAAAGACTCGCAAAACAGCTAAGCCCTCTGCCAGAATCTGGCCAGTGGCTTGGCTCACTGAGCAGCGAGATACCCTTCGTAGAGTTAGAAAAGGGCGCATTCGATGTCAATGAAGTTTGCGAGAGAGCAAGGTCCCTGCTTTTTAGGCTAAAATCCGGCGCACCCTCGTGGGAAGAAATGATTCAACTCGTGCGGGAAATGGTCAGCGTTGATTTGAAAGTGTCTCGATGGCGCGAGCGACCCGAATGGACCTTCAAATCTCTTCCGCGGAGTGCCTTGACTGGTGACCCAGAGTGTATCAGTCGCCTCCCTCCCCGAGTCGAGATACACCGCGATATATGGATGGCGTATGAGTGGAACTACCACCGCACAGGGCGAATTATCCTACACCAGACACTTCTGGAATGCCTTTTGCAGCCATCTATTGACCTCCCTGTTGCTGTTTCCGTCCATGAGATATCAAATTACATCGATGCATCGACCTCCATCATTCACAATCTCGCGGGCGGCATCTTATCAACTGTCCCTCAGTCTCTTGGGGATATTGACAGCACTGGGCAATGTGTTTCACCAACCTCCGACAAGCCTGGATGCCAGGCTATTGGGGCATATCTTCTGCTATGGCCAATCAAGATCATCAAATCTAGCAATAGCATGGCAACAGAAGCGCAAAGACACGACGCTGAACTTTGCTTTGAAAGAATTCGGGAACGGACTGGAATGAAAGCCAAGTTAGGCCCTTTGTCTTCTATTTAACAGTTAAAGCAAACCCAATAAACTCGCAATCTATCCGCATGAGTCCAGTCTGCTATGTTCAGTTACTCTCGATGCCCAGTTCTTTCTCCTTTTGAAAGAGATCCGGCAGAAGGGGCTGTCCCTCCTTTGACAGGATGGGGTTTGCCGCCAAGGAAACAAAGAATATACGACAGACGCGGTCCGAGTTATTGAACCATTGATGGTTTGCGCCCTCCTGGATTATATATTCCCCAGCCTTGACGACCCTCTCCGCTCCGCTATCTAGGCGAAGAAGTATCTCGCCAGTGACAACGATGCAGTAGTCTATGCTAAGCGTCCTGTGCATTGGGGAGCTACTTCCAGGCTGGAAATCAACTGTGCAGACCATGGCTCCCTGGGGAGGTGTTCGAGGGATGGCTTCAGGGAATGACGGGATCGGGTCGGTGTTGGTCACGGGAATCGCATCGCGTGAGTCGAAGACGGCGAATCCAGTATTGTGAGGACCGAATTTGAAAGGGGCAACGTCGTGGTCGGCGGAGAAGACGGAATTCTCAGTCTCGGGAGAGTGGCTTGCCCGGATAACTCGTGGGTAGCCGAGGGTTATGTCTTGGGTGGCGGTTGTCTGGGACATTTTGATCTTAGTTGATGTCTTTGTAATTGAAGTGTATTTCTAGGAATGGACAAAGTATTTTGAGATGAGATTGTGATTGTGTGGTAGTTCTATTGCTTCATCATGGGTTCCTGACTGCTTTATATAGTTCTTTTTCTATTGTTGACGCATTGCAAAGCCCAAAGCCATCGGATCGTCGGCTGAAGCGTTGGATGACGAAGCTAGATAACGACAGGGATGTTCGCAGCGCTTGCCGAGTTGGGAAACACCCACGAGGCTCCAGCTTACAACAAGATCTTACGCGGGGCAAAGTTCGATCCAACGGATCCTTGCCACTGACCACATTAAGAACTCCTCCTCACTGGGGTTATCAATCATCGGGAAATTCCAATATCCGTCCAATTTGTGATCTAAGCCTGTTCTTAAACCACTGCACTGGGAATAGCTATACCGTGAATAGCTACATTGAGAGATGGAAGAGTGTACACGGTACGGAAGCTCATCCGAACCAGCCGTACCGCCGGCGATTATGAAGCCCGGTAATCAAGAATTTTGGTACGGCTGTCATTATTGGACAAATCATACAGCGGCACTCTACCTGCGAGGAATGTTGCGTACATGAGGAGTCATCGGTCAAACCAATGGGGCCTCCGTTTCAACATCTAATCCGCTTTAATAGCACTCTGGCGTTCGTTGGCTCATATGTCAACGCCCCTGAACTCCATGTATTTATTCCACTCCAGATCCTCAAGCAACTGTTTCACCAGTTCTGCCTCGAACGTAACCTGCAGTTCGATCCCCTCGTCATCCCCGGCCCCTGGACCTGTTGTTATTATTATTATTATTATTATTTTTTGCCGGTAGATCCCGAAGGTAAAGGATATCTATCTAGAACTATACTATAAGCTATAGAGTAGCTGTTTTATATATATATTAGTAGACTAGATAGGATTAGTAGTAGGGGGTTTAATAAGAAAGAATAAAAGTTATTACTCTAATAAGATATCTATAAAGGCTATAAAAGAGCTATAAATTAGATAGAAGGAGATAGGAGTTTATTTTCTTTATAAGGAATAATTTAAAAAGAGAAGAAAAAGAGAGAGAAAAAAAGAGAAAGAGAGAGAGAGAGTATATATAAATATAGATAAAGAAGAGATAAAAAGTAAAAAGAACTATTAATTATAATATAATTTAAAGAAATTAGACTTCTTAGTATAATATATAAAGAGGTTTTATTTTAATTTTATAATATTACTAATTCTCTAAATTTTAAAAAGTTAGAACTACTTAATAAGTTAATATATAAAGAAATAGATTAATATTTTCCTATATTTATAAATATAGAAAGATTTATAGTTTTAATAGTTATAATCTATATAATAATATATAAAGTTATTATATTTAGTTCTAATAGTTATAAGATAATAAAATATAATAAATAGTATGCTTAAGGGCTACAGGATAGCTCAAGAGTAATTAAATATCTTTATTTAGTAATAATTATTCTAGGGAGAGAGGGATAATAACTTTATTACTTAGAAGTTAGTTAATAAATTAGATAATAGGTTAATTTATAGTAATATATATAAACTAATATTTATTTATTAATAACTATTAAGCTAGTAATCTATCTAGAAATAATTATATATATATATAATAGAGTACTTAGTAATTTCTTTAAATACTTAGAGCTAAGTATCTTCTACTTAGTACTAATTATCTTATCTTAGTATCTAAGTATATTATATAATCTGTATCTAACTTAGCCTAGGGCTAGCTTATAACCAGGGTATAATATAATACTCCCTCTTTATTAGTTTTATCCTTAAAACTATATTCTATAGCCTAGGTAAATTCCTTTTTTTTCCTTCTATATAAACCCTATCTATTAATTACTATAGCTAAGAAAAAATCTTCTAATTATTATAAAGTAAAAGCTTTATTAATAGAAAAATTTAGTATAAATATTATACTTTATTCTTATTATTTAAAGAATAGATATTAGTATTATATAATACTTAATAATAATAAGTACTATTTTAAGTATATTTATTATAGTTACTTATATAACTATTCTAGTATTATAATATTATCTGGTAAGAAAATTATATATTTTTATTTAGGTTATACTATACTGATCTACTTCTAAGCTTATTATATTATAAATAAATACTACTATCTTAAGTATAAGGAGGGTATTACTAAAAAGTATTTTCTAAAAGCTTAAACTAAAATAATAGAAGCTCTTAATAAACTAATATATCTTTATTAGTAGAAATAGTAAATTTATAAATAAGGTTTAGAAATATTATATAAAGATAAGAAGTTAATAGATAAGTTAGAAGAGTTAGAGTACTTAGAGTTTAAAACTATAGTTAAAGCTTAGTTATAGGGTACTATAGAGGTTATTAATTAGAATACTATATAAACTAATTTAATTTTATTTTAAGATCCTTCTTCTATTTTACCTTCTAATAGAACTATTAAATTAAATATTAATAGTTTATTAGGTACTTAATTAGTTTCTATATATTATTTTCTTTAGGGTAGTTCTTCTATTTTACTAGATAATATATTTAATTATTCTATACTTCTTTACTAAAGAGCTTTTCTAGTTTAAACTCTTCTTTATAGATCTTAATTAGATAGTTTTAGTCTAGTATATTTTTTAGTATTTTTTTAAGTAATAAAATATAAAAAATTAGGTAGATATATATTATATCTAGTAGTATTAGTTTATAGTTAATATCTAATATTTTATTTTTTATTTTAAAGGGTTCTAATTTTTTATAGTCTAATTTATTACTTAGTTATATTATTAAGATATTTTTTTATAGTAAGTAGATCTTATCTTCTCTTCCTAAGGTTAGTCTCTTTAATCTTAATTTATTATAATATTTTTTTATTCTTTACTAGATAAATTCTAATTCTATTTTTATTTTTATATATAATAAGTATAATATTTCTACTATAAGTATAGTAATTAGAGTATCTAGTTCTTTAAATCTTTTCTAGTTCTAGAAATTAGGATTATAACTATAGTTTATATATATAGGTAATAATTAGATTAAGTTTTATATTATACTATTATAGGTAATTTATACTATAGGTAATAGTATTACCTAATTATTTTAGTTATAGTTAATATATACTTATAGGTAT